TAGGTTTTGATATAGAATTTGTATGCAACTCATCACTTCATGGAGAGGAAAATAGTAGCAAGATAAAAACCCAAATATCTACAACTTCAAGATTATTTTGTTACTACTGATCTGATGAACGGAAAAAATTGTCGCTCAAATATACTTTTTAACCCTTAAACTGTCCCAACATTGATTATGTTCACATGTGTAGTGCTCCTAAAGTAATTATTTTTTTTTTATATTTGAAAATGTGTAAAAAAGTTTTTTTTACACACTTTCAAAAGTAAAAAAAAAGATTACGTTTTTTTTACATACTTTTAAATGTTGAAAAAACGATCTACATTTGGACAGTTTAAGGGTTAAATGGATTTCTCAGACAAAATACTGCACTTAAAAAAAAAAAACTGAAATAAAAATGCAAAGTGCAGAAGAAAAAATAGGTCAAAATATGTGATTTTTTTTTTTTTTTTTTTCAAATAAAAAAAATATTAAATACAGGAAAATAAGTAATTACAGTTAAGTGCTTAAGTGTTTATTAAAGTCATAAAAAGTATGAACTAAAATTTTCCACAGAACACTTTCTAAACAAAGCATTCAAAGCAGAGATAAATACAACCTTATTTTAAATATACATTTAAGACAAGCTAAAATACATGCATGTTCTTATGACTACTCTCTATTTTAATATAAATGAAAAATACAGATACTGTACACGACTGAAGGCGAGAGTAAAACTAATCAACAAGTCAAATTCCTTCCACATTATTAGTTTTCTGTTCTGTAAATTTATTTTATTTATATTGCATTTTTTATAGCCTAGTAGTGATTTACACAACAGTGGATTGAAAGTTTATCTTTAGTTCTCATTAAAGAATAATAAAAAGTTGACTAAAATATTGTAGCCATATATATATTTCCTCAATGCTCATGGCTTCCTTTGTCTATGAGGAATGAGAAATTTATACTATTATCCTCTCCTACCCATGTATTTTTCATGTAGATTTTTATGTGAAAAGTATTAAGTCCATTCCAACCTTATTCTATGAATTCACTAGTATATGTCAAGCACACAGTAAATATTTCCCTTCTTTTAACCAATAAATACAATCTTCAGGGAGAAATTAAGATTTACAATAGGTCTTCATTGTAAAGACAGTGATCGAGTTTTCATGTTTTAACATCTGCCTCTCACCAAGTAGGGTGTCCAAAAAAAAATTAATTTACTATCATTCATTCAATAGTTGTCTTGTCATACATGCAGACACATCCTCAAAAGACACTAAACTACAACAACCCCATTCCTACTTTAGAGGGTAGGCACTAATTCCCACGGGTCTCTAGGACTCAGTCCAGCTAACTAGTTTCTCCCAAGTCTTCATATATAGTTTGGAGGGATATGTTGTGTATCTTTATATGTATATGCTTCTAAACTGTTGTATTCTGAACACCTCTGCAAAAGCAGTGATAATGTGTGAGTGTGGTGAAAGTGTTGAATGATGATGAAATTATTTTCTTTTTGGGGATTTTCTTTCTTTTTTGGGTCACCCTGCCTCAGTGGGAGACGACCGACTTGTTGAAGAAAAAAAAAAAAAAAAAAAAAATTATATATATATATATATATATATATATATATATATATATATATATATATATATATATATATATATATATATATATATATATAATTTTAAAATATAATATATATATATATATATATATATATATATATATATATATATATATATATATATATATATATATATATATATATATATCTTTCTTTCTTTCAACACACCGGCCGTATCCCACCGAGGCGGGGTGGCCCAAAAGGAAAAACAAAAGTTTCTCCTTTCACATTTAGTAATATATACAGGAGGAAGAGGTTTTCTAGCCCCTTGCTCCCGGCATTTTAGTCGCCTCTTACAACACGCATGGCTTACGGAGGAAGAATTCTGTTCCACTTCCCCATGGAGATAAGAGGAAATAAACAAGAATAAGAACTAGAAAGAAAATAGAAGAAAACCCAGAGGGGTGTGTATATATGTGCTTGTACATGTATGTGTAGTGTGACCTAAGTGTAAGTAGAAGTAGCAAGACGTACCTGAAATCTTGCATGTTCATGAGACAGAAAAAAGGACACCAGCAATCCTACCATCATGTAAAACAATTACAGGCTTTCGTTTTACACTCACTTGGCAGGACGGTAGTACCTCCCTGGGCGGTTGCTGTCTACCAACCTACTACCTATATATATATATATATATATATATATTCTTTCTTTCTTTCAACACACCGGCCGTATCCCACCGAGGCGGGGTGGCCCAAAAGGAAAAACGAAAGTTTCTCCTTTTACATTTAGTAATATATACAGGAGAAGAGGTTACTAGCCCCTTGCTCCCGGCATTTTAGTTGCCTCTTACAACACGCATGGCTTACGGAGGAAGAATTCTGTTCCACTTCCCCATGGAGATAAGAGGAAATAAACAAGAATAAGAACTAGAAAGAAAATAGAAGAAAACCCAGAGGGGTGTGTATATATGTGCTTGTACATGTATGTGTAGTGTGACCTAAGTGTAAGTAGAAGTAGCAAGACGTACCTGAAATCTTGCATGTTCATGAGACAGAAAAAAGGACACCAGCAATCCTACCATCATGTAAAACAATTACAGGCTTTCGTTTTACACTCACTTGGCAGGACGGTAGTACCTCCCTGGGCGGTTGCTGTCTACCAACCTACTACCTATATATATATATATATATATATATATATATATATCTTCTTCTTTCAACGTACCAGCCGTATCCCACTGAGGTGGGGTGGCCCAAAAGAAAAAACTGAAGTTTCTCCTTTTAAATTTAGTAATATACAGGAGAAGGGGTTACTAGCCCCTTGCTCCCGGCATTTTAGTCGCCTCTTACGACACACATGGCTTATAGAGGAAGAATTCTGTTCCACTTCCCCATGGAGATAAGAGGAAATAAACAAGAACAAGAATTAGAAAGAAAATAGAAGAAAACCCAGAGGGGTGTGTATATATATGCTTGTACATGTATGTGTAGTGTGACCTAAGTGTAAGTAGAAGTAGCAAGACTTACCTGTAATCTTGCATATTTATGAGACAGACAAAAGACACCAGCAATCCTACCATCATGTAAAACAATTACAGGCTTTCGTTTTACACTCACTTGGCAGGACGGTAGTACCTCCCTGGGCGGTTGCTGTCTACCAACCTACTATATATATATATATATCTATATATCTATATATCTATATATCTATATATCTATATATATATCTATATATCTATATATCTATATATCTATATATATATCTATATATATATCTATATATATATCTATATATATATCTAATATATCATATATATCTATATATATATCTATATATATATCTATATATATATCTATATATATATCTATATATATATCTATATATATATCTATATATATATACTATATATCTATATATCTATATATCTATATATATATCTATATATATATATATATATATATATATATATATATATATATAATATATATATATATATATATAAATATATATATATATATATATATATACACACACCTTGCTCACTCTTAACAGAACATCAAGCCAAACCATAAAGACCACTTATCTCCAATCAAACAGTAACACAGTCATGACATGTGCTTAGTCACAGCTACCGGACATTCAGCATCACTGGTCCTGTCCTAGGAGTTTCTCTGTGGTCAGGGTGCACGACTGTCAGTGAACAGTCACAAACATATGACAAAGTAACCAAAGTCAGAAAAGTAATAGTTAAAACAAAAAACTAATCAACACTTTCAGTAAGAAGGCTTCAAGAAAGCATGGTTTACAGTACATCACAGATTCAGCAATTCTCTGGCCTATTCAAAGCAAAGGCTAGGTGTCAGGATTAGTCAGGATGATGCACACTCCTATTTTATAGCAGGCCCTATTAAGATTCATTTCCTGGAAGCCTAGTAGGTGCTAGTGGGATTTAAAATAAAAAATCCTTTTCCATTAATATAATCTGCTTTACCTGGTAATATTTTGTCGTACCAAGCGTACCTACTGATATGAATAACATCTCATGTACACACAGTAACAAACACACCTATAATCACACACAAGGTTTGTTCTTGAGCTATGAGGAGACACTAATGGAACTGAACCTAATTACAATGGAGGACAGAAGAACCAGGGGAGATATAACATGCAAAATATTCAGGGAAATTGATAGGGTAGACAGGAATAGACTATTTGAGGCAATAAACAAACTCAGAGGATGGAGGGATACAGCTGGAAGTTAAAGAGACACGAGCCACAAGAACGTCAAGTAGTATTTCTTCAGTCTCGGCATGGTCAGAAGGTGGAATAATTTCAGTGAAGTGGAAGCAGACTCCTTATATAGCTTTAAGAGAAGGTACAAAAATGCCCATGAGGCTAGGAGTGAATCTGGCAAGCAGCAAGTTGAGAGATGAGGCCAGGAAACAAGACTTGACTCCTGCAGCCAGACACAAACAAAAATATACACACATGCCTCTGAAGGTCTAAACATAAGACATGCATAAGCAAGTAATACCTTTTACACCTTGTAATTTCAATAATGGGGTGCACTTCTGGCAAGACAGCTACTGAATTATTTTTATTAAGGGAAAAGTCCCCTATCTAGGCAGGAGACTGTCATATGTAGTAAAAATAAAGTACACTAATATAATGAAGAAAGAACCTTTACCATCTTGCAGTTTGACAAAATGATTATAATTAACTTGTCTTCAAAATTTATTTCCTTTATTACAAATTGGTGAAACTCAAATATTAATACAAAAACAGCTATCAAAATTTGAGGAAGAGGTCGTGACCATGTTCGTAACATTTCCTTAAAATCCTCACTAAATATAAGCAACTTTTGTGTAAAACAGTAATTCAAATACATCAAAATATGACCTATCTTCACAAAATTTGTAGCACGTATTTGATCAGGTTTGAAACTCACCCGAAGTCCTGAATTTTATAGGCACAAGGCTCAGTCCTCCTCCTCTTCACCGGACTCTTCAGACTCTGGTAAAAGAGAAAGTTAAATGTTGCAAAAAAATATTACTCTACATACAGTATTATATTATACACAGATACTAAACCCACACAAGTCATACAGCACCAGAGAATGATACTCGTGAGGGAAAAGGTGAAGCATCAGTTGATTCAAGGAAGAGGATAGCTCCAATTCCTCAAAACAAGAGGCATGTATCAAGAACCTTCTCCCTTTCCCTCCTTGAAGAGCATAGTTTAAAGGAAACCATCTGTAGAAAAACATGCACAAATACAGAAAAATAAACATTCCTCAACATGTTAACTGTCCAAACGCAGATCTACCTTCGCTCGCCCAGCACTCCAAATATTTTGGAGAAAAAAAAATTTTTTAATTAGAGCAATTTTGGTGTAATAAAAATAAGGACCAGTACTCGCCGACATATAAGACTGCGAAGTTGGAGCTGGATGCTCACTGTCCTGCCGCCTGCAGAAGTGTTGCTCATATACCTTTGCCTCGTTTTTATATTTTATATATTTTTTATGTTCTGATAATTACAGTTTATAGTAGTTCTTGTGATTTCATAGCCAATCTTTATTCTGACACTAATATTAGGTACTGAAATTGTACTCAAATTGTCACACACACTGACAAGTCAACATTTACACCTGCCTTGGTCATTTACTATTGTCTAGGAATATACACATTATTATTATAATCAAAAAGAAGCGCTAAGCCACAAGGGCTATACAGTGCTGCAGGGCAGGAAGGAAGTGAGGGCATCAGGTGGCAAAAGGGAGGTGGATGAGTAACAGGTTACGGATAAAAGCGGAGAAGTGGATGGTGAAAGGGTAAAGGGCAGCAAGAGACTGAGCTAGAAAGGGCTGAGGGGAGTGCATAAAGTATCATCATCAGAGTTTGTGGAGTAAATCAGTCGTTGTCAAGAAGTCAATGAAAGAGTCAGGATTAAAGGAGAGTCCATCAGCAAGAAGGGAAGGTAAAGAGAGAGTAGTAGAACGAAGACAGCGTTGGAGGTAAATTCTGCGTGCTCGTTGATAGAGAGGGCAGTCTAACAGTATGTGGCTAATCGATACTGGAACTTGACACTGCTCACAGAGAGGTACAGGGTGCCTCTTCATGAGATACCCATGAGTAAGACGAGTGTGGCCAATGCGAAGACGGGAGAGAGTGGTCTCCCAACCTCGGCACTGATGACAAGAAGACGGCCAGTAACCTATGCTCGGTTTAATAGAATGAAGTTTGTTACCAAGCAGAGTTTACCAACGTTGTTGCCAACGGGCGTGAAGGTGGGCAGCTATTGCAGCAAAATAGTCCAGAAATGGAACACCTCTATAGGAAATTGGTAGGTCATGTACTGCTGACCGCGCAGCAGTGTCTGCCTGTTCATTGCCCTGTACGTCGACATGACCAGGGACCCAACAAAAAATAATATCTTTATGCTTCGTAGAGATACGGCGTAGCCAAAGTTGGATACGGAGAACTAGGGGGTGAGATGTATCAAATTTTCGTATAGCCTGTAGAGCACTAAGGGAGTCTACCACAAATAATGACACATGCATAGATGCGATACGAATAAGTGCTGCAAGAATGGCATACAATTCAGCAGTAAAAATGCTAGCTGAAGATAGTAAATGCCCCCGCACGACGCTGTCCGGAAACAATGCTGCGACTCCGACGTCGTCTGAAGACTTAGAGCCATCTGTGTACACAGCGGTGGCACGAGAATGGGAGTGGAAGTGATCAAGAAAAAGAGCGGGAAGCCACCGTAGGCAGTTGAGCAAGGGAGTGAGAAAGAACAGACCCGAACAGCTGGAGCTTCCCAGGGGGGTAGGGAAAAGTGAGATGCTACATGAACATATAAAGGTGGTAACTGAAGGGAAGACAAGAGTGAATGTAGGCGAAGAGAAAAGGGACGGAGCAAACGGGCGGCGAACGAATAAAGAATGTCTACTAATATCGGGGACCATTCTATAAATGGAAGGATTGTGGAGATCGTGAGAGCGTACATAGTAGCGAAGGCAATGGGCATCACGGCGATCAGACAAGGATGGAACATTCGCTTCTGCATAGAGGCTCTCAACAGGGAAAGAGCGAAAAGCACCAAGGCACAAACGTAATCCTTGGTGATGGATAGGGTTAAGGGTAGAGAGAGTAGCAGGAGAGGCCGCGGAATAAATCTGGTCACCATAATCGAGTTTCGATAAAACGAGGGCTGAATGTAGGCGAAGCAGAGTTCGACGATCAGCTCCCCAGGAAAGATGAGCAAGGGTTTTAAGAAGGTTTAGCCGGCTGTGACAAGTTGCCTTCAGAGATGTAATGTGAGGTTTCCAGGATAACCTACGGTCAAAGAGAAGGCCTAGAAACCTGATACGGGAGCTATAGAGATGCAAAGGATGATCGGAGATGACAGAGCGTCTAGTAAAAGTAATTTGGTGAGTTTTGGTACTTGAAAATTTAAACCCATGCGTGGTGGCCCAAGTGGAAACACGGTCGACTGCATGCTGGAGAGAAACTGCAATGAGATAACAGTCAGCGCATGCACAAGCAATAGTGAAGTCATCAACAAAGAGTGATGACCAAATATTGGGTGGAAGAACAGAGGCCAAATCATTTATAGCAAGGAGAAAAAGTGTTGTGCTTAGAACACATCCCTGAGGGACACCTTCAGTTTGGACGAAGTCCGGGGAAAGAACATTATTGACTCGAACACGGAAATGTCTGTCAGTTAAAAAGTTCTTAAGGAGGATGGTAGTTTGCCTCGGAGGCCAAAGGGAAAGTGGGCCGGGGCCCAAAAATTTATTATCCCTCCAATTTGTGTCGTATGCCTTCTCAAGGTCAAAAATATGCAATAACCGAGTGATTATTCGTAAAGGCATTACGAACATATGTATCCAAGCGTAGTAAGGGGTCTATGGTAGAAGGCCCTTACGAAAGCCATATTGACTAGCGAGAGACTGTTGTGCGTCTCTAAATACCACATTAAACGTCGATTTACGAGACGTTCCATCACTTTGGGCAAACTGCACTAGTAAGAGCGATGGGAAACAAATAGTGGGAGGCATCATGTCCTGTAGTACCCGGTTTTGCGGAAAGGGAGAACAATGGCAGATTTCCACAGCTGGGGAAGAACTCCTCGTCCCCCAAATAAGTTTAAAAGAGGTGTAAGAGGACTACAAGGGCTGACCGATGTAAATGTTGTAACGTACGAATATGAAGTATCGGGCCCAGCGCCGATGATCGCAAGCTGAGAGCGTTGCCTCCAGTTCTTGAAGTGAAAAAGGTACATTATACTGTTCCTCTAGAGAAGAAAAAGTCCAAGGGTACTAACTCTCGGGCAGACTTTGAGGAAAGAAACGGGGCATAGAATGGAGCCCCCGGGAAATACGGACCAAAATGTGTGTCAAGTTCAATGGCAACATTCAAGAGGGGTTTTGCTACATCAACACCACGACCCGTAGAACAGGAAGCCGGGTCAGGAGAGTATTTACCACTCAATTTCCAAACTTTTTCCAGACTGCACATAGAAGAAGCAGAGGTGATGGTGGAAACAGTCTCGCCAACAAGTGCGTTTAGCTTCACGGATGACACGGCGAGCGATCGCACGCTCTACTTAAAATCAACAAGTCTTTTCAGCGGTTCTATTGTACTGGTACCTGCCCCATGCAGCGTGTTTCAAACATACTGCACGAGCACAAGCAGGAGACCACCAAGGCACGCACTTCTGAGAATGCCTGCCTGAGGTTTGGGGTATAGAATGAGAAGCTGCGGTTATAAACTGACGTCGAGAAGAGGTGTAGGAGCTCATCAATGGAGGATGAAGAAGGAACCTCACTAAAAGCAGTGAGGTGCGAGTAAAGATCCCAATTTGCCCAAATTCAATTGCCAGCGGGGGCTACGGAAAGGTGGTGAATAGGAAGGAGAAGTAAGAATGATTGGAAAATGATCGCTGTCATGCAAGTCTGCTAGAACTGACCAGGTGAACTCTAGTGCAGTGGAGTAAGAGCAGACTGATAGATCGATGCAAGAGAGAGTATGAGTACGAGGATCAAAATGGGTGGGAGTACCCGTATTTAAAACACGGAGGGGGTGAGAGGCGAGAAAAGCCTCCAACTGGATGCCACGCGAGTCACAATGAGACCCCCCCCCCAGAGGAAATAGTGGGCGTTAAAATCAAGTAACAGAAGTGGTGGTAGGAAGGATGAAACAAGAAAGGCAAAGTCTGGAATAGAAAATGCTCGAGAAGGAGAGAGATATAAAGAACATATTGTAAACCACTTATTCAAGTGGATACGGGCTGCGTGTAATGCAGTGAGGTATGGACAAAAAATTTGGGACAGAAACGGAATATCATTGCGTAAAGAAGGGCACTTCATTAAAGGTCCCATCTGAGAAAGGATCTGAAGATACAATAAATAATACCCCTGAGATAGGTTGGAAAACAGCTGAGTGTAATTTTGGTTCTTGTAAGCAAGCACCAACGGGAAAACCTGGAAAGCAACATCTGAAGCTCACCCCGATTACCCGAGGCCGCGGATATTCCACTATAAATAGGCCATGATTGGCGATGAAGAAAATACCAGGAATCAGTAGGGAAAGGCACCTACGGACTAGAGGGGTTAGAAAAGTCAACGTGTGGTGGCACTGGAAGACATTCAAGCATCGAAGGAACGGAGCATTGCGAAGAATGGGGTTGTGAAGATGGAGGAGTGGGAAGAGAAGGAACAGGAAGTGAATCAGTTTCCATTGAAGGTTTAGTCTCTGCAATATATTCTGAAATGGCTTCAAGTGTTTCTGAATTCAAAGATGTATGGGAGACCATATTGGAGACAGAAGGAGGAGGGTGAGTAAAGATTGGGACAGTAATGGACTGTACCCAAAGTAAGGGGGGGGAAGATTTAAGGGACTGGGAGGAAGTGGGGGGGGGGGGGGACAAAAGAGGCAGAAACCTGGGAGGTGGCAGAAGAGGGAGAAACTTGGGAGGGGACGGGGGTGGAAGGCATAGTACGAGGAG